TCATAAAGAACGGAACGTATCTACCGTCTTATAGGGGGATCGACTGTACTTCATCTTTACTAAACAGGACTGTACCTAAATACTGTAGCAATCAAGTTTAGATTAGTAAGAGACTATAAATGAAAATTGACAAATTGACATATTGACCATTTATGCAGCCTTCATTGCCAGCACAAAAAGTGAAAATTGCTAAATTCATTCGTGACCAACCATTTAAGCATTAAATTGTACATAGGTTATCTAGGAGATAAATTTGTAATTTTCCTAATTCTCTATTGCAGTTTTAGTAAATGAAAGACTAACAAACTTAAGGATTACTGCATTGGCAGTAATCCTTAAGTTTGTTAGTTAACTTAAGGATTACTGCATTTTGTTAAGGATTACTGACAAGATTTAATGGATCAGGCAGTCATTGATAACTCGTTAAGAAATATAAAGTTTATTTATTATAAATTTTTTTTTTGTTGAATTTTTCCGTCCGATGGCGGGATTATTATTAAATAAATTAAAATCTACATCTACAAAATCTACATCTTCCAGCGCCTTTTCTAGTAGATATAAAGCAAAACCACCCATTGGCCAGATGGATGAGAAGTAAGACATCTGTGTGTCACAGATTGCTTTTACTTTTAATTGGATGTTTGGACAAAATGGACAAAATTGCACAAAATGAAAACTAAAGCTATTGAAAAAGACTTGAAAAACAAAATGCGTGATTCGTCAAGAGCTGCTTCGCTTCTCAAATGGATATTTTAAACTTTCCTATAGTTTATAAAAGTTTTCGTTACGTTAATACTGTATAACTTATATATTGATTGTGGTGATTATTCTTCTATCGACTACTTTTAGACTGTGTTTCGGCAATTGCGATTCTACTAACCGGGCATTTTACTTGTATTCTGAATAGGCAATATTTCTCTCTCCAATGTTAGCTAGGTATGGATTATATAGTGCGATGGAAAGTGTCTTCGCAACGTGATCACCACTAACTTGTAAGTGTTTGGGCTGATTTGCCGACGTAATAATTTACTTTGTCTTTGAAAGTGCCACGTCGTTATTTCGTTGGTGGAAGCGCCTGTCGTTTCCACGCCCAGCGCGGACGAACTTAAAATCGCACTGTGTCTATTAAATCTTAGAACCATAAGATTTACGACCTCATGGAAAAACCCCAGAAGAAAACCAAATAACCAGGGAGAGGGATGACAAATCCGGGCAGTCGTCGTCTAGTTGTCCGACTCCCGAGAAGAACTCACTACATAATATCGCTGCCACCTTCGAACCAAATCTCAAGTGTTAGCCAAATTTAGAAATCCGTTGGATATTCTTTGTGGACTGTCTTACTTGTTTGTGAACTATTCTCTCCAAGACGCCGTGGTTGGATATCAACATATCATCCTCCAAGTCCTTAGATCTACCCCAAGACTCCTAACAAGGTATTTATCAACACGCGAATCGTTTGTAAACTCTCTCTCGAACAGTCTAGTAATGTTATTAGAACCTGTAGTCATGCTTGGTACTCTTGTATACCTGTATGTTCTTTTGTTAGTATTAAAATCATTATTGTTAGTTAATCGATATTTAGAGTGAATCACTTCCTTGTCTCTCTCCTCACCTCTACTTCGAATCCAACCGCTTACTCGCGACCGCTCTCGTAACGTAAAATTATTCGTCGCGATTTCCGAGTCCTGAGAGACTCGGTGGTGTCACATCCTGACGCGGTGTCAAAGAGACACCGACCCTACGGTCACATAAATAAAGAAATTATAAAAATCCGTAAAGAAAAGTGGATAGATGCGAAAGAGAAACGATTTACACTGGATCCATCAAAGAGCACAACGCCTATTTTAAAAATTAGATTCAAAACTCATAAACCCGGGGGAAAATGTAGACCGTTAGTAGATTTTTTGCAATTCTTTTTTCTACAGCTTAGAACAATATCTTGAAAAAGAAATTACAAGATAGCCCATACTCGGATTACAGAATAACACGGCAGACGAGTTAATTAATTAACAGAACATTATGTGCGGAGAGAACACCGGTGATCCGTTCGAGGTTAAATTAAAAAATATCCAATTACCTTGCTTTATACATTATAATAAAAATAACTGTACAATTAATATTTCTATAACCTGATGTATGTCTAGGGAAATTTACAGAACATGTAGTGATTAAAAATAATGATAACTTAATTAATTTGAATAGCGGAATGTCAATAGATGATATAAGGAAGCACGCCATGTATAAAAATAAACGCGACCGCCATTGATGTAGGAGATTGTACCTTTGTAAAATATTTTAATATTTTACATATTTGTTTTAAAAAATCCTAAACTGTATGCTACAAAACAATTTTATAGTTTATAGACTAAAGAGGGATGGGCGAAAACTGTAAACTGCCGGGCTGCAATGTTTTATTATATTTCAATTTATTTAATTTAAAATATGTGCTCTCCGCCTGAAATTAGCAGTTGCTTGTCCGTGTACATCATACTTTTCCTTTAAGAATAGAGTCGTGTTGTACGTCACCTACCTAACACCTTTCGGGAAAAAATGTTTGAACTGAAATAACGTAACTTCCTGTTTGCATCGGAATTCCTGTATATTTAACCGGGGCATCCTTCCCCTGGGGTTTTCTTATTTGATCTCGTCTCTTGTCTGTCTAAGTCCGTTCTCGAGATTAATGGAAGACAACCAGACAAATGGCAACATTGGGGATTTATAGGTTTACAATGTTTTCAAATCGCTGCCCGATGACACCGCACATTTCGTCGACATGCAAATACGATAAGTGAAAGAAGGACAAAGAAGCAAAGCGACAACATTGTTAAGGAATACAAGAAATTTTGTTGAAATAAAAATTTGTGGATTGAAAACTCAGTTTGAAAACGAGTTTTAAATTTGAATGCCGACATTCGTTACTGGATGGCGAGATAAAGACGAAATGTGAGACGATTTATGGAAGAAACTTTTAAGAAATTCGTAGGAGGAGAACGTTCCAGACGGACTTGAAATAAAAGTTTTAAAATTCGAGAAGCCATTTTGTAAATAAGTGGTTTAGAGCTGTAAAACACCAGCAATAAACGTGCAGAAATTTTAATAAAAGCCGAACGTCAACAATAGAAAACTTTATGCTTGTTGCTTACAATCTATAATGCAACAGGTTACCACGGAAGCTCAGGTTTCCCTTCATTTTACACGTGATACACGCGCTATGGGCTCAGGTGAGCTCAGGATTCCCTTCACTATAAACGTGAGGGAAAGCCTTGCGCAGGAAGCGATATCGTTACTAATGAAGTTGAAACTGAAGTGCGATATACGCTATGCGTAGCTAATCCCACCAATGGTGGTGATTAGCGCTCAAACTTTAAAAAATCTACCACGGAAGCTCAGGTTTCCCTTTATTATACACGTGATACACGTGCTATGCGCTCAGGTGGGCTCAGGCTTCCCTTCATTATAAACGTGAGGGGAAGCCTTGCGCAGGAAGCGATATCGTTACTAATGAAGTTGAAACTGAAGTGCGATATACGCTATGCGTAGCTAATCTCACCAATGGTGGTGATTAGCGCTCAAACTTTAAAACATCTACCACGCAAGGCCCTTGTTCCTGCTCGTCGTAGCAGGTACAGGTTAAGGTGACTGTGAGGCCAGGAACACACACTCCCCCTCGGACGGAAACCGGCTGTCGAGCTAAAGTCAATATATAGGTGACTTATTACGTAAAAAGGACCGGTGTGACCAAAGAACGGGGTGCGAGACGATTTAATTGTCGCATTCCGGGCCTAATTGACAGATTCACGGTCGTCAATCGTGAGAACGATCGAGGGATCGACCGTCGGGGAAACTTTGGACGGTCACCTTACAGAGACTTCAAAGCAGGTCCTGCTGACACTCCTGTAGAGGGGGCGGCGGCTGAGACAGCTTCCTCCTCTCCGGGACCGAAAAATAGACATTAGGTGACAATTTACGAGACCGTCATCCGGGAAAGGGCTTGACCCGACTCCGGAGGAGAACGGCCCGGACGGGGGTCATCTCGGCGACCCCTCGGCCCGAATCGCGCCCCTGGCAACAGGGACGCGATTCTATTGGTCCCGACCCGGGACCAATAGAAGCGCAGAGGGACCAACTTTCGGACCAACCAAAACGTCGGGATTTCGGGTGAGAAAAGGTTATAAAAGCCCGAGGTCCCAAGGACACGGGGAGAGTTGGTTGCGAGTTGGGGATCAAAAAAGACGGTTTTATACGAGTGGATACAAAATAACCCAGAAGAACCCAGAGATTACCCAAGAAGCATACGGAAGAGATTTGGGACTTAACTTCCCAACGAAGACTTCTAACCATCCAACGTCCAAGCCTCTACTTACGACCCGGAAGAAGAGGACTCTCTCCTCCTTTGTGTTGTGCTGTCCACTCTCCGACGATCTATAGAGCTGTCCGGCGAGCCTTTCGACTTCCGACCAGACGTTGGTGTAACTCATTGTAAGCATGTATTTCCATACAAATAAACGCGTTAACTGTGGACTTACGGTCTCTGTGTGAGTCTTTGCGTCCAGCAAACCGCGACCCCCATACGGTACAGGCTTTCTCGTGTCATCCTGACAGATCACGGGCAAAGCGAGGGTCGTAACCTTTCACCTTAAGGGCAACCTCCGTGCGAGTTTAGTTTCGGGTACACCGCGTCCTTTAAAGGGGGACAATCCTCACGGTGGTGTCTCCCCGAGGGCGTCATCCTCACATGACCGACGGTGGTACTTAGCGGGATCCGAGCCACTTTGCTCAGCGGGGGAGGGTTTCCCGGGACAACTGCCTGCTCGTTGGGTGGATCTGGCGCCCTGCGCTGAACCCGCAGTTCGTCGATTACATCCGGATTAAGATACGGATTCCGGTTCCGCCCTGCAGTCCCCTTTGGTAGCAGGGCCGCTCTCCAGGGCATATCCCGTTCTTGAGCCGCCCTACGGACCCCCTTTTGGATTTTCGTTTTATCGGCGACCCTGGGGCCCACTGTCCCGTTGGAAGAACCCTTTCGATCACAAATAAACCAAAAATAGAAATAACATAAACACAAACGATGCACCGGACTGTATTTTAGTCCGTCGTTTCATTTTTTTACACATGTACACGCTTCTTGCAGTTGTCAACCAATTTTTTTGGTCGACAACAATGTAACCCCTTTCCAACCCCCTAAAATCCCCATTTTTATTGTAAAAATCGCCATTTAACCTTCAACAATGCAAACGACAATGTATATCGTAACAATGATAACAATTGCTTAACGACAATAAAAAAACTAAATTGATTCTCCTATTCCACACAAATATATTTATTTATTTTTTTCATTTTCGTGGCCAAATGATGCAAAGATTAAGCAAAAATCATTTCCATCGACTTAATTCTCTCACTACTTCTTTCGAACCTTACTTTATTTGTTACATCTAACTACTAAAATCTTATCTAATGTCCTTTATATAGCAGCGTAGACTCAAAATTTGTATACATGTATAATTTTTCGCATAACACACAGGGTATTTTTAATTTAAGTATCGTCTACCCCGAAATATTATAACAGGACATTTTTCATTAAGATTCTTGTGTGTGATATTAATACGTTTGAAATTCCTATGAAGTTATATAAGATAAAAATTTTTTATAAAGTTTAAATATAAAACCATATTATATATTTATGTTTTCCTGATTACACCAGTAAAATTTAAAGTTCTGACATATTTAAAAAATGAAATTTTTTCGTAATATTTATTCATCATATTTATATCAATATATTGATACAATAACGTTTAAAGGTTGACGACCGTTCTATTTTACTACGAGGAAATGCATTTAGTTGTATAAGGTATAAACAAATTTAAATTAAAGAAAACAAAATGAATTAATTTCGAATATAAAAATAACTAATTTAAATTTAATGTTTACAATGTTTATAATGTTTACTTATTTTAATTTTAAAAATCAATCTTAAAATGCAAAGGTGTATCAGTATATTATCTTTGATTTTTGAAAAACATTACAATTTAATTTAGATATAGGCTATGTTTTACAAGTATAATTTAGTTTTAAAAGTTTTTGTAAATTCCATAAAACCTCGATTTAACGAACTAATTCGGGCGAAGGTGTGTCCATTGAATCCGAAAATCCGTTATATAAATAAGTATATTTTCCGAATACGCGTCTTAAAAAGTTGACAAATTAGTTAATTTATTTAGTTTTACTTATTTTATATACTTTTGTGTAATTAAAATTTAATTTAATTTCATAGAAAAGGTTTCTGTACGTATAAGGCTTATATACAGTTCTTATGTTAGTTCGGAGACTGTAATAAACAGTATACGATCTAAATCGAGATAAATACATTTGGAAAATACATAGTTGTATTTAACTAAACAAATAATATTGGAATCGTCAGTGTTGTGTCATCGATACTAATATTTTCCTTTTTTATAGATAAGCAATATTCTTATTAATAATTAAATTATTTTTCTATTCATTGGTATTATTATTTTTTTACTTTTATTGACAGATGCTCCCAAATTTTAAATATTAAATTTTAATTTTAAACCTTAATCTAAAATTTACGTCAATACTTATATAATTCATTATTGTATATTTTTGTCTGTGATTTTATGTTTATTGTATTTAAGTGATTTGTTTTTGGGAGATGGTATTGCTCCCTGCATCAAGGAATGTATTCAGTATGCATAATAAATAAATAAATAAATAAATAACAAATAATATTGTTAAAAAGAAAACAAAATTTAAATTTCACAAAAACACAAATTTTATTAATATTTATCATTTAAATAAGCCTACTTATCACAGAATAATATTTTTTTTATTAATGAAGTTAAACGGAAGAATATTTTAACATTGCAGCGTAACTAGAATTCTGCGATGCTGAACACGACTCAGTTTACTGTTATACAAAGAGTTCCCTTCGCCAAGAGTCAAAAATAAAAAGTAAAAATTACAAAATTTGTCATTAAGGTTAGAAATTTTTCAGTGAATACGTTACAACACATAAAACATAATTTAAAACATTAGAATCATAGATTAAAGGAAAAAGCGAGTAAAATTAATTTATATAAGTCTTTTTGATTTTAATGATTTTAATATTCTACAGATAAACAATAAAGATTAATAAACAGGTATTTAAATAATAATTACCGATGTGTTACCGATTTCATTTCTTATTTAATATTGATCTATCCTTAAGTTTACGAAACCTTATCAAAAAAGAAGAAGGTGGATCGAATGTCACATGTGCGGAATATAAACTACATTTCACTGAAAATCAATGAAAATTAGAATTTAGCTAAAGATAAATTGAGGATATCAAAATATTTAAAAATTGAAGGTAATATTAGCTAAATGTACATAGTGTGAAATTCATTCACGTGATCTAACCCCGTGGTTCCCAACGTGGCTAAAGCACTGTACAGAAGTATAACCAGGCGGAATAATCCGTTATTTTGGTTCTGCTGTAGTTGTCTCTGCCAGCTGTACCTCTCTTCTTTCATCATCTTTTCCACCTCCAGGTCATATCTCTGAGTGGTACCTGGAGGATCCCCCTCTTTCGTATACTAATGTCACTAATGCCAGCTGTACCTGTGCTGTATAAATTTTAATAACGATTAAAAAGATACAAAATTATGTTGACTGGCGAATAAAATCTTTGGTGGTGTCAAACCGCGGCTGCTAGCAAAATTAACTTAACGTATGTTGATAAGAAAGAAGATATTTATTGTACTGTATCGATGAATATTTCATGAAATACAAAACGGGTGTATAATTCCACAGTGCGAAATAAAGAAAAGTGGTAATGTAATCCTCGTTTTTCCCACGAGATGAGAAATTACACAGTAAATGGCTAACTGCGTTCAAAATATCCGAATTTAAAAAAGCACACGAGTAAAAGCAAATTTTACTCCGACAAAATTTTTTTATTACTAATAAAGTGTAATTAAACATATTTTTATTAATGAAAATATAATATTTAAATATTTGTCTTTTTAATGTTACGATATGTTTTGTGTACAGTAAACACACATGGTGGAAAATGGTAGAAATCAGTTTGAACATTTGCGAACACACAAGAATGAGTAAAATAAGGCTAGGAGAAAAGACTAATGTTTCCTATAATGCCATTAAATTTTATTAAAATTTAACTTATTAGACTTGTATTTTCGATAAACACCTATATCAAAACTTAATATATTAGTAATGGCTAGTCAAAGAGTGAGTATATTTTTTGGGACACCATGTATTATTAAAAATTTTAAATTCCAGTAACGAATAAAATCGTCAAGTCGATCCTACTCGAGATATGACACACGACTCCCTTTATCTCCTCACCCTGTCGACCTTTAACCGCCAAAATTTAATAGCATCAATCCCCCTAATAAACAAACCTCCCTGCAAAATTTCAGAAATTTTCGACAAAAAACACAGGAATTATTAAGCTTAAAATAAGAGGGTGAACAAAATCGTTCTCCTCGACACACAAACACACGCTAGCATCCATATATACTGAACCCCCCGGAATTTTTCTGCATTTCTCGACGTTTCAAGATTTCCTGTCCAAAAATGTGAAAAATCTTGGGGTGCACATTTTTTGACCGATCGCCATACTTTTCCTCTATTATATATAACAGAGCGGAAAAATAAAAATTATCATCCGAAATGATTTCTTTGCATAGACCAGAGATGACGAACTTATTTTTGCCTCTATGTGTGATGTAGTAAATATACTTATCTTTAAAAATGTTTATGCGCATCGAGGTTTGACTTCGAATAAAGATATTTAAAGAAATTAAATAAATATGATTTAAGTAGATTAAATATAAGGAAGCTGATTTTAAAAAATGATCAGGTGATAAAGGAAAAAAATGATTTAAAAAGGAAAGGATTTAAAAAGCAGGTGATAAACCGAAATTTCATAATATATCATGTGCCAGATGATATCTAACGACGTGCTACAGTTTGCCATCCTTCGTATATTCGAAATAATATATAGGTAATGAGAGTGAGATGATGAAAAAACGGAAGCTGTGGTTGTAAAGATAAATTTTATTTAAAAAAATTGACTGTATAGGTAATCACAATAAACAACACAATAACGAGCAAAATAACGAATCTTTCCGAAAAACAGATTCGAAAAAATAATATATAACTTTTTGCTAATTCACCATCTCATTCTTAAGGTGTGGGTTAGTTAGCGAATAGTATATTGATAACCCTCTACCAGAGCTTACTCTATTTTGACCGATTACAAATTAGATTCATTATCCAAGCTTTTAAAATAGTATTTACAAGAAACAAAAGGCGTCCGCTAATATTAAGATTTTCCAGGCACAGTAAACACAAGCTTGAGTAAAACGTTCTGCAAGTCAGAAACATTCGATTTTTTTCACTTATTTTTCAGAAAATGCACATAAATGGAGCACGTAGCAAGCATGGCTTTCAATTACCACAATATATTAATACGAGGCGGTACTTTTTAGTTTTTACAGTAATTATACTTCCGTTCACTATCTAATATTCATTTACTCTAATCAAGTTCACGATTTGTGATTTTATCTTTGATACTAATTAAAACTTTGGAATAAATTTATTATTGAGTAAATTATTATTAAATACACACGACAACTGGTACACAGATAAGATCATAGGGTAATAAACTTATTAATATTCATATTTGGGACAGACTCACATGGAGACGCATTAAACAACGTAATCCGGAAACTTAAAAATATGGAATTTGTTTATTTAAATAATTTTATTACAGAACAAAATAATACTATGAAGAAATTTTAATCAAGATATTTTTTAAATTTAGAATATAAAGTATAAATAGTTACAATTCATATATACTCTTAAATTAGTAAATTACTTAAAATTAATTGTAAATACGATCTATAAACAATATAATCTACAAAATATAATAAAATACATCCGAGTAGTAAATAGCTTGTTTATTTATTATGAGAAAAACTTAAACCGTAAAGTTATATTTTATCAAACTTAGGAGTAATTTATATTACAAGACTTGGGATAAGAGGGCAAACTAATTAAGAATATAGGAGACAATGAAAACAATATTCACTAAGGGCCGGATTTATACGAGCTTAAAACCGCGATATATGCGCATATACATGCAAGTAAAAATGCTAGATATATTTACTGCTATATAAGCTTTGAAATGCCTGAAATATGCATTATGCTTGTTGAAAAATTCATTAAACTACATTAAGTTTATAAGTTGAAATGCATACGTACTTTACTTGTGTCTTCGAGCAAATCCTACTAACGTCTTTTATATAAGAAAAGATAAATATGCAACAAACGTCTGATGAGGAAAATTCGAACAAAATACAAATGTTCTTGTTTTTCTAGCTCTTTTTTTCTTCGTTTTTTTAAACAAAGCTATCTTATAGTGTAATAATTACTAAACATGTATTATGATATGTATATACATAAAACTAGAATTTAGAATAAATCAATTCTTTAAAATAAAAAAAAATTTCTAGTAATACCGATCATATTTCTTAACAATCCACTTTTCGTGCCTAAAACATAATTGAAAAGAAATGAGCATTAAATTGAAATAAAGAGTGTAAACTTTTATTTCTGTAAGAAAATGTAAAAATTACATAATGAATTAACAACATATAGACTTATAAAAGATTTATTATTGTAGAGTTCTTAAAATTATTTATCAACTTTTATCCTTCACTTAAAATGTTAAAAATGTAACATTCGTTAGTAAAACAATTATAATTCATTCGTAAACAACTCGCATCAAAATAATTCAATGATGTTATTGATGTTCTAACATTCATTCAGAATTCGACAGGTTTTTAATTTTAAAATTATTGTTAGTGTATTTTATGTTTAAATATAGTGATTCTTTGAAATGGTAATTTACACGCGGGTGTCTATTTGAAAATCCGGATGAGGTCCTGTCCCAGTTAGTCCGAATTTTCGACGCTTCACTAAAATTCTTTTTAAACAACATAAACTTTTAAACGAAATAACAAGTGTACGCCTACTTTTTCTAAAAAACAGCTGCTGAACACACTACAATACATGCGAATATTTCGATTATTCAATTCGTTGGATAAGGTTTAAATTAAAATAATAACGACAGTAGGAGAAATTAAAGTATATAACAGTAACTGTAGCTGCTATAGGAAATAGAAGAAAGAAACGGAACGAAATAACAGAGAATTTCTCTTTTATTTATAAAATTATTTAAAACTAGATTACTTTATTCGATGTTTATTTTTATGCAGTTTTAATGTAAAATAAGTCTATATATTATATTGTAATTTAAATAAGTGTCTAAAACTATATTTTAAAAATATAAATAATCTTTATTCCCGGTGAGAAAACTTTAATAATTCGTTAAACGAACGCTTTCGACCTTACCCAAAGTCTGCTTCAGCTGATATTATTTGCTGGTATGCTGCACCCTCAAATAATTACACAGTGGTTGCATTATATGTATATAGTGAAATTTTATATTTACAACAGCTTAACTCTTTGTTTTTTTATATGTTTGAGATATTTTAAATTTAATGTTCAAAAAAGTTTTACTCCTAGCATTCTGGTTTTAGAATTATTCTATAACCTGAAGCAGACCTTAGGTAAGGTCGAAAGCATTCGTTTAAGAATTATTAACGTTTTGTCACCAGAATAAGTTATTTATTGTTATTATTAGTACTGGTGACTAAGTTAGAAGATATCTTTATAAAGTAAGTACTTCTATAATGGAAAACAACTAAAATTCTAAGGAAATAGCAGTTGTTTAAGACAAAGTTTACCTTTATAAGACGTTTATCTGCACCTAGTCTTATAATCGAGATGGGTTGATAATGATAATAATAAGCGCAGAGCCCAAGTTAAAAGCTGAAATTTCGTACACAGTTATCAAACGTACACTAAAAAGGGATTTTTCGAAATCCCACGCGGGGGGGAGACAGAATAAATAGTTTAATTGGAAATAAAAAATGCAGTTGGGTGCTAAGAGTTAGTATGATGAATTTCTTTGATCTGTGATAAAATGTAACGAAGTTAGTGAAGTCATAATTCTAACGATCTGTCTTTGCTTTCTGGGTAGGAACAATTGGCGTAGTTTGATTTCGAACACGTTCCGCTACAGGGCTATAGATCTTTCCTATAGCCTGTAGCGAAAGGCTACCGATTTCTATTACATACGTGTTTTAAAGGTGTTTTTTTNATTTAATTTCATAGAAAAGGTTTCTGTACGTATAAGGCTTATATACAGTTCTTATGTTAGTTCGGAGACTGTAATAAACAGTATACGATCTAAATCGAGATAAATACATTTGGAAAATACATAGTTGTATTTAACTAAACAAATAATATTGGAATCGTCAGTGTTGTGTCATCGATACTAATATTTTCCTTTTTTATAGATAAGCAATATTCTTATTAATAATTAAATTATTTTTCTATTCATTGGTATTATTATTTTTTTACTTTTATTGACAGATGCTCCCAAATTTTAAATATTAAATTTTAATTTTAAACCTT